ATAATAATAATAATAATTTTTAATCCCCTATATTTGAGAATTTAGCTAAAACACCCCAATCACAAAAAATTTAAAAGTTAACAAACTAACCTCAACCACCTAAGATGACTATCGATCACAACCAACATTCGCCGAAATGGTACACAACCAGCTGGATATGACTGACCATGTGTCGATCTAACCTTTTACGGCTAGATGGTCGTGGATTTGGCTAAAAACAATCAGATCTCTTTTGGCCGTTTCCAGCCAGATTCAAATATCTAGCTTTTTTTGGCCGAATCCATGACCATTAACGGCTAGAATAGATCTACTGTTTCTTGCTAGATCCACTGCCATTTGGTTGTTTCCGGCCATATCAGTGATCGTGCGTCAGCCAGATCTAATTGGTTATGCACCGTTCTGCCGACTGTTGGCAGTCGTTTGGGTTGCTGGGTGTTATGTGAATAGTTTTCATTATAAGGGGATTATTGGCCAAAAATTTTATTACTTAGGGGTAAAATTGTAACAAAGCTAAGATTAATTTTATGTAAAATGAGGGGTATTTATGTCCCAAAAAATAATTTATCAGGGTATAGAAGTAATTTCAATTGGTTGGTCTATTTGTTATTTGGTTGACATATGAGGGCATTTTTGTCCTAAATTTTTAATAATTAAGGGTAAAATGGGAGCAAAATTAAGATTACCCCGGTAATAAAAAAATAATACCTTTCAGTCGATATTTGAATTGCCCCCAAGTTTACCTATAATAACTATTATTGATATTTGAAGATTATCGGAATCTTTTTTATTTTACAACCAAACATAGTAATTCTCGAGTTAAAAGATAGATTACTAGAGTAATCTTTTATGAACCCGAACCAAACCCACCCATGTAGTATTATGGTTTCTGAAATTAGCCCAATATTTGAACGAAATAGAGAAGCAACAGGAACAAAATAATAATAGTAAAACAAAACAAACAGTAAACAAAGAAATTATACGCGCGATTTACCCTGGTTCACCCAATGTAGGCTACGTCCAGCTGAGTCAATATTATTGAAATATGCCTCACCTCTCTCGTTTACAATGAATGAATTGCTCTCACTCTCATAACAAGAGAAAAGTATGTTTATATACTAGGTTTAAGATATTAAACCTAGTTTTACAAGAATTCCTATTCCTAAGCTCAACCCAAAAAGGAATTAATAACTTAAAAGGAATCCTACAGCAGTTATACATGGAAAAACCCAAAACCGCTTACAAGAATTCCTATTCACCCGAGTGCGTCTCCGTTACCCATTAATGCTGAAGTAGTCGACAACTCCAACAATATTTACATATTGGCATAGAGTTACTCATTTTCATGACTTCCAAGTACAAATGTGAATGCATGGTGGTCGTGGCTATGTAATATTTTTTATTTTCAAGCATTTTGGTGTTTTTCAAATTGAACCTAATTCATGGAGCAAGCTAGCCTCACCTAATCTTCTATAAAAGGACTGAAGTCTTCTAATCAATCAACAAAGTGATTTTGACGATGATGATCAAAGTGATCTCATTCAAAACTAAGAAAAACAAACTCAACATAGTTAAAAGTGAGTTCTATAGGAAAAATGTATCAGACTCAATTTTTCTTGGCTCGAGTTAAATATGAAATAGCAAAAGCGAAGGAAATTAACTCAAAAGAAGTGATAAATGAAACACCAGTGGAGCTAATTGATCCAATTGTAGGTAAGTCTTTTCAGCCAGTGTGTGAACACCAGATGCATCTATATTGGCTTATTGTGTGTCAGGAAGATCCATTGGATTGACCTCTATTCTACAGCATCCTCATTTTTTTAAGATCCGAACTTACACCTTTCATTAACAAGAGTTAATTCCTATGTGCAAGAGTAGAGAAAAAAAACACAATCTCTCGAACTCTTATCAACTTTCTCATGCATAAAGTCGAGAGTTCAAACCATATAATGACACAAAAATAGTTTACACTCATACTTGGCTAAGCTCCTATTGTTGTTTAACTGCATTTACAGGTTTCAATACTCAAAGATACAACTTCAATCTTCAAACATTATCGAGGGTCAAGTTCAGTAATTGCAGTCTCATTCAACGAAAATTGAGAATAATTTTCACTGCAATCCAACATAGAAGATTCTGAATAATCCAGCTCCGAGCTAGGTTGCATAAAAAAATGCAGGTTTTGAGGCTAGTCAGCATAAGAACAACTGAAACCATTGTAGGTCTATCAGCTACATTTTCTTGAACACAAGACAGCCCAGCTAGAACAACCCCTCAGACTGGATCTATCAGATTTAAAGCTGACGCTCTAGTCCAGTTTCTCCATGCCTGCAAAAATTTGACAATGATTTAATGGTCATTGATACTGAGTTTAATGACTTACAATGTTTCACTTACATAGGTTAGTAAATCTTGCGGTTCCTCTTCATTAGGAAAACAACTATTTTAACAACTATTTTGTTGACCACTAATGATTTCCAAGACTAACACACCAAAGCTGAAAACATCAGACTTAGTTGAGAAGTGTCCATGCTTTATATACTCTGGAGCCATATACCGGCTGAAAATGGCCATTAATGGTTAGATTTGATTTAGCAAGGTCTACATTATAATTCTAATATATACTTACAAGGTCCCAACAACTCTCCTTGTATTGGCTTGAGTTTGATCCATTTCAAACAATCTTGACATCCCAAAATTTGTGATTTTGGGAATCATATCAACAACTAGAAGAATATTGCCAGCTTTGAGGTCACGGTGAATGACCTGAAACCTTGAATCTTCATGAGGATAAAGCAATCCTCCTGCTATATCCCCAATGATTTTGTACCGTGTTTCCCAATCCAATGATGAGCGTTTTTTGGGATCTACAAATTAACAAAAGCCACCGGAAAGTAGACAGTTTCTAGTCAAGAACAAGGTACAAGGTTGTTAGAAACCAAAGCAAAAAAGCAGTGCAACCATACCAAATATGAAGCTGTCTAGACTTGAATTGGGCACCAACTCATAGATTAGAAGCCTTTCATTTCCTTTCATACAGAAACCTAGGACTCTAACAAGATTCCTATGATGAAGCTTTGCCACTAAAAGGACCTCCTTTTTTTAATTCTAATTCTGCTTGCCCAGAATTTCTTGACAATCTCTTAACAGCCATATCCTGTCCATCAGGAAGCCTACTCTGAAATTGAATTTGAGAAAAATGATTGTAACAGCATTTACATTATTCAGAACTTAAAATTTAACCCATTTAAACTAACAATTGATATTCACTTTGGTTATGAATACTTGATATTAATACCTTGTAAACAACAACGAATCCCCCTTGACCCAGCTTACAATCAATCGAAAAGTTATTTGTTGCAGCTCTGGTAGTGCTAAAGTCAAATTGCAAGGATTCCACATGATCAATTTCACAAGAACCTTAAAAGATCAGAGTAAGAGATTAGAACTCAAAAAGAAAATTAGTTTCAGCTCATATAGCAGAGTAAATTGTGGCAGCAGAAAGGGTATAATTACCTTCTGCCTCCTGCTCAGTGCTCACTTCCAATCCCCTGCTTTGTCTTCCTCCTCTGTAAAAAGACACAAGTGAAGGCAACAAGTGCAATAAAAATAACTACTACCGAAGAAACAATGGTTATAACAATCCTAGATGTAAAACCTTTTTTCTCTGCATGCACAAACCAGAAAAATGTGTACATAGTCAACTCATGATGGCACTGAAATCTATTGGGGTAATACAAAACTAAAGAACATGATTGTAACAATGATGATTCTTTGCTAGGAAACAAAAAGAATTGTATTCAAACTATAGAAGATACAAAAAGATTGACAAGCTAACCATAGAAGTAGATGTAGCTTCCCGTATAGACCTGAGAGAGGTCATTCACTATGCAAAAAGCATTATAACAGTGATTACAGTATTAATTTCCGACATACAGAAGAATTTGATCAAGTAATCATGCATATGTCCCGCTATTTATTTACACTAACTCACCCTATGATTAGATTAATAAACAATTTAAATGGGATAGGTGCATCATATATATATATATATAAAGTGAAAACTTATGGTCACTTTGGATATCTTAAATGCTCAATATAAAGAAAAAGAATCTTCGTGCATCAGCAGTACATGTGGCTCATGCAGGCTCCCACATTGGACAGATGCATATGAATCCGACAATCCTAGAAGTGGCAAATGCAAATGCTTACCAATTTTACTTGTTGAGGTAGCTGGCGGCGGAGGTGGATGAGAGGCCATTGAGTAAAAAGGGTAAATTTCAAACCTGATATTGCAACTAGGCTTAGAAATTCTACCTCCTTCCTTCCCATTACAGTATTTACGAATCTCACTCACACAAGCAGCCAAGCAAATGCAGCACTCAGATGAAACAATGTCAGGAGTGCATTGCACCAGCCCATATAGCCTAGTAACAGTTGTGAAATTCACATCTTCAACAGCGAAAAAGTTGCTAGATGACACAGCCTCATGAGCCAAACTGTTCATCAAATCAGCCAAAGTCTGATTAAACTGACTGGGATGTATAACGTTGTTCTGGTTCCCCAAATAAACACAAGTATCCTCTTCCATATCAGAGAAAATAGACCTGTTTGAGTACCTTAACATGCACTCTTCATACCATATAATTGCTTCTTTCTGTTTAGGACAAAGGTTTGTGACTTTTTTACTAGCGACCTTGACACAAATTTGGCATAGATCAGGAGAGATGTCTCCTCTACAAAGAAAGAGGCCATAGGCTCTATCAGGGCCCTGCAGGCCCCCAGTGCTGGTATTGTAAAATCCATTGCTAAGTGGGGCATTTGAGATCAGAGAAGAGAGAGTTTCATTGAGGTTTGTTGAGAAGGCACTATTTGGAGTGAAAAAAGTGGTGTTTACGCATCTGTGGTAGCGGTATGTGGTTTCCTGGGCTGTGATATTGGGAGAAATAATGAGCATAACAATGGCTGAAAGGATGAATTTTATCCAAAGAGAAGAAGCCATCATGCTTTCTAGTTCTAAATTCTAATACAATTTCAATGGCAAGTAAAGTAACAACATCACAAGGTTAACTTGACTCCCATGGTGAGCAATCCAGTTAGGCAAATGAGTTGTCAAGAGAACTTATACAATGAAAAAGCAAAGAACGCCTTATGTATGTTCCCTACTTTTTTATGAAACATTACAGAAGAAGACAGAAACTCATTCCTCTCTCTAACATTCTCTTTCATCTCACTTAACTATTTCTTCCCTGAATAATTTCAACATGAAACGAAAATCTTCATCACACATGTTACAAAGCAGAATGATTATTAGCTAAATCTTGCCAAGCTCTTCAAGAAGAAAATGAGTACCGACTCTAGGTGCTTTCTTGATAATTTTTGGTTTGGGTATCTCCCTCTTCTCCTATTCTAAAGTGAGAATAAGAAATTATAGCCATAGATTCGGATGCTTGAATAATATTTATCATTCCATACAACTGATTTTTTGGCTTCAGAACTTTAACAATTAGCACACTTTTGAAGAATCTCCTCCAAGCACAAGAGTCTGAAAAAAAAAAAAAAATATCATGTAGAGTGACATTAGAAGCAAGAGATGAGAGGATCAGATTCCTGTCTTCTCATAGGAGCTATTAGTTGTGAAATTCCCTGTGTCATAACATATAGTTAATTATAAACGCCATTGTTTATTAGCACAAAGAAACCAAATAAAGCAAAGATTTAAAACCCTTTTCAGGGTTATGCATTTACATGAGCTTGGGGAAGATGAAGAAAGAGAACACAACGGTGAAAGGAAAAAGAAAAAGAGAGAAAGAGAAAGACAAGGAAGAGATGAAAATTATTGCAAATGTGGGATAAAAGTCTTGACAAAAATAGACTGCGTCCCTATCATTTTCTTGTTTTCTTCAAATTTTCCTTACACAGCATCATTCTAAAATGAATCTAGTTTGCCAAGTGAACAGATTCTTCATTGCAGATATAGGAGCTTTCTCTAACTACTCTTCCAAAGTAATAAAGTATATACAGTAAATGCCCAAAGCCCATTACTGAAGAAAGCAAGTGCATTCATTATCATCAAGTCACTAAAGCAAACATTTAACAAGACATGTCAACAAACTTATCACTTCGACATTTCGATGGGTCTTATCTTTGATTACACTTGATTCTGTATTAGCTAGCTTGCTTCCTATCACAAAGTGATTTTTATTGAAAGAAGGACTTCAGCATTTAGTATTCAAAGACTCAGTTGTATCTCATTTGATGTACTATTCATAACCTGTGCTGTTTAAATGCAGTGATGCTCAAGTTTTAATATAAGATATCAAGTCTACATTCTCATTATCTCAAAACCTGCATGTTTTGTGGTATAAAATACCAAACTTGCAATGTTGAATGTAATATTTTTAACGACAGACTTATAATATAAAACGTCACAGTTGTAATTCAGTAAAAGCTTAAATTCAAATATAGCAAAGTTTCATAACCAACAAACAATCACTTGTTGAGCAACCAAAGAACCATTTTCCCAGATTAATGTTCAGAATATAAACCTTACCTTCAAAGAACAATTACATTAAAGTAGCCAATCAATTTGCGACAAAAAAATTTGCATGATAAGGAAGAGAGGCTCATATAAACAACAGTGATTGAATTCACTTCCGTGCTTCCTGGGAATACTAACTTGCAAGAAAGAGTAATGCAGAAGAGAAAACTTCAGCAAAGACAAGGATTATAGAGAAACAATTGATGAAAAGGACGGACCACACTGTGGACGACACTCGAAGATACCTTCAACAAACTTGTTAAAGTCAAGCCTGAAAACTGTACCATTGGGCTGCTCCATCTAAATGAGCACTCCATTGAGGAGCCATACAATCCAGTTCCTGACCAATGATCATATTACTTGCTCTCTGTATGACTTGAAAGCTCGTCAGCAAGCATATTCTTTCTCTTCATCTTCAAAAATTTCTCAAAGCCACAGTCTGATCGTACTAACATGCAGTCCAGCCCGATTGTCAGTCCTAACTCCTTGACAAGTGCAAAACGTGGTCTGATTCTCTGTTCCAAACTGTAACTAAAATACTGAGGGAACTTAACCAGCTTAGATTTTGAATAACCCATGGTAAAAAAGAACTCCCATTTGGGTATCAAGCTCCCTGTCAAGCTAAGAGCATATAAATTAGGCAATCTCGACACCATGGTCCCGATATCTTCCACACTGAACCCCCTTTCATAAAAAAATTTGGTCACAGGCTTGAGATTGCCCTCAATACTAAGCCAAAGACTCGCTGGAAATCTGTGGACAATGATGGCAATATTAACCCCGAAACTTTTGAAGTACTCGGCTGTCGGCCGGAGATTGTCTTCCACACTGTAACTTACAGTTTTTGGATACCGAGTTAAGACCTTACAGATGCCATCACCTGATAAGCCCAACTCAAGAAGGAAATTAACAACTGCCTGAACCTTCTGCCTGCTGAGACTGAGGAGTCCTGGGCTGCGGAATATAACTTTTGCCCACTGTTTCTTGTCCACACCCATATCTTCCAAGTATAACATGATGGGTATTATTTTACCAGATATACTACGTCCACATAAATGAGGCCTTTTGACAAGAATTTTAGGAATCTCTGATTTAGCTACCCCAAGATCAAGAAGAAACTCTACTAGAGGTTTGATTTTCCTCTCCGAGCTGTAGTTGGCAAAACTAGGATATTTGCGAGTAGCTAACTTGATCTGCTCAAGATCCATTCCAAGCTCTAAGAGGTAGCTAAGTTGAGGGCATGGATCTGCTGCTGGACTTGGGGCGCTTACATAAGAGACTGCTTCTGGCTTCTTGGAGTCAAGGCTGGAATGGGATCGACAAACTGGCAAAGCTGGCTTTTCTTCGATAGGTGCGGTATGAAAGTTCTTCACTAAATCTACCATAAAGTTTCCATGCTCTTCAAGGAGTGATTGAAGATAAGGATTAAGGGTGTCCCTAATCTCAAGAGTTGTGAGCTCTCTTCCTGCAATAACAAGTAAAACTGATTAGCATGGGAACAAAGACATTTAGATAAAAGTACCAAAAAAGAAAAAACTACATGTTGCAACCGGACCTACAAGATACCGAGATTTATGAGATGAATGAAGCCTTGAGATAAGGTGGTCGATGAAATGATCTGATTTATTGACAGTTCGTGCAGCAACTGCTTTGCTCAGACCTTGCTGCATCAAGAACAAGGTTAGCACAGACTTGGCTTCTTTTTTTTCAGCCGCTAATAGCGATGGAGGTTCTACCCTTGAGTTGAATGATTCATTTGCACGAGAATCAGCTGTTCTTACATCAAAACATTATCATGTTAATACCACAAAGAGGAAAGAAACATGTTAATATCCGTAATTTAGCTCTTGTAAGGAGGTCGAAATACTACTAGAAAAACTGATTCCTTGGCAACAGAACACTTCCTCAGGAGAAGTGAGTCGAGTCCTGCGAAAGAACAAAATAAAATCATCAATGCTCTATCCCTCATAGATACAGAATAGAAAATAAAGTCTATACGAGAAAAAAAGTATACGAGATTTCGATATTCTGTTTGACTAATCTTCTAAAATGAAACTCAAAATTGTGATAAGAAGAAATCACAAATTCACCACACTCACAACATATAACATAGTAAATGCTTTTTCTCCTCAACTTCCACTTCAAATCTCCTAAAATTTAACAATACGCCTTCATAGCAATAGTATGAAAATAAAAATTAATGCTTTTTGGATGCCAAAAAACTAAAATAAAATAAATAATAATAATAATAATTAATTGAAAAAAAAATACCTATTGATGTAGAAAGCTCCTCTAAAGAGAGATGAAAGGTCAGAAGAGCAGCTTCCAGAAAGGATCTTCATTGCCATCTTCAAGAACCCAAACTGAAACCTAAAAAAAACTGTTCCAGTTTCAGAATTAAAACTTGTAAACAAAAAACACATAAAGAACTCATTTTGATCCCAGTAATATCCATTAAAACTAAATAAAAAAACAAACCCATATAGATGAAAGTGAGTTGTAAAGGAAAAATCAATCAAACCCAATTTTTCTTGGCTCAAACAAAACTCCAAGCTACTGTGCATACAAATTTATAAGTAAAATAACAAAAAATGAGAAGAAAATAAGAATGCAAATCTTACTTACACAGGAACAAGTTGATTAGCTACTGGGTTCTGTAGTTCCTCTGCTTCTCAGTTCCTCCGAGAAGTAACGTCTTTCTCTCTCTCTCTCTCTCTCTCTCTTTTTTTTTTTTTTAGTTAATTTAAATTTTGTGTGTTTTGAAGAATAGCCACATTTTCGGGGGATATTATAAAGTAACCCACCTCAAAAAGATTTTGCTGTATATAACCCCAATTACAGGGGATTGACAAAAATACCCTTTCTTAACTCTGTCTTCACCGCAAGGCTCGACAAACGACAATGTTTGATGATATGCCGATCACGAAAAAATCAAATATATTTTAGATATATATTTATCAAAATGTGCTGGTTAATTAGATATATAAAATACATTGAGAAAGAGTTTTAAAAACAAATAAAACAAAATGTTTTCGTAATTGTTCTAGAGAAAGAAAAATTTCATGATACATCTAATTATATAAACTATAAGTATGATTTGTTTTGAAAAAACCTGATGGTTACAATTGAGGGCACATCTATTCAATCATAGAGAGTCAAACTTTATAAACTAAATTTTAAGTCATTCGGTAGTAATTAATATGAAATATGATAGTGTCGGTATAATTCCAAAGTCACAAATTTTGGAATGGAAAATTTGTTTTGAATGAATCAAACTCAAAGTAATACAAGATTCGAATGATAACACTTATTAAAATCTCTAACCCATCAATGACAATTTTCAATACATATATAGCTCCCAAGTGTATAAAACATAGACATTAGTCAACCAAGTTTGATGTTTTCAGCTTTAATGTTTTATGTGATCGATTAATATTAAACATACCTTAGAAAGTATTAAATATCTATATATATTTGAGGTTTTTAATAATATTTGGAAAAATTGAAGCAAATATGTGATCAGTTTAATGGATCGAATAATTTAGGAGAAGCAAATTTGATAACTTTATGGCAAATTTGATAACTTTATGGCAAATTTGATAAGTCCACAAACCTTAAACTAAGTTAAATAACCTCTATGAAGGGTTTTAACTATTGCTTGTGCTAATGAGGGTGGAGTTTAGTGATGGACACATCATTCACAGATGAAGGCATGGTTTTGCTTGAAGATTAAACATACTCTATACTCATTTTTGGCATGCTCTGTTGTGTTGTGCTACAATAGTGTGACAGAGAAACTGTTAAGCATGAGTACTGTTGTTGTTATCATGGGTTTGTCTGCTGGATCTTCCTGAACGCACAATAATCCAATATGGATTAATCTCGCCACCTCATTTTGTGGAAAATTAAGAATTGTCAAAAGTTTGATCCATCAGCTCTAACAGGGTTCCATCCCTCCAAATTCTCCAAGCCTGTGACGAACATCGTTTGGTTAATTCTCATAACAAATGTAGCTCCTATAGTATGCAAGATATATAAAATTAAAATTGAATTGGAACTCACATAGCTCAAGCGGTACTCCCTATTATCTGACTGATAGAAACTATTGCTCTTTTTGCCACTTATGATCTCAAGTACTGAAACTCCGAAACTGTACACATCATACTTAACCGAAAATTGTCCTTGTAGTACGTACTTTGGAGACATATAACCACTAGAATCTAGCACTATGAGTATTGTAATCTAATATCCAAACAATTCATAAGAATAATGGGAAGGTTTGTTTTAAATCTTACTATGTGCCAACAATTCTGCTTGTATATACTTGACTTTGATTTGCCTCGCAAATCCTTGCTACACCAAAATCTACTATCTTTGGATTCATGTCCTTGTCCAACAAGACGTTACTAGCTTTGAGATCACGATGTATAATTCTAAGCCTAGAGTCTTCATGAAGACACATAAGTCCTCGAGCAATCCCTCCTATTATTTTGCATTGCATTGGCCAATCCAGTTGTCCTCGTTTTTTAGGATCTGTACATGCATATATCCATCAAAATAATATAACTTAAATTTTCAGGTGATACATTAAATTACTTATTTATGATGTTCTAAATGAAGAATCAAACCAAAAATGAAGTAGTCAAGGCTTTTTTAGGCACAAATTCATAGACAAGTGTTTTCTCCCCTTCCTCTACACAAAATCCCAATAACCTCACTAAATTTCTATGTTGAAGCTTGGCAACCAATACAACTTCATTCCTAAATTCTTATACACCTTGACATGAGCTTCTTGATAGCCTCTTAATAGCTACTTCCAGTCCGTTATGAATTGTAACCTGAAGATATATAATAAGATCATAATCATTATGAAGTGATACTAACTAGTTCAGTCGGTTGAATCTCTTAGGATAAAATCTCGCTCATTCTAGTTTAAAGAAAAATAAAAAGGGAAATTTCCTTACCTTTTACACACTGCCAAATCCACCTTCACCAATCTTGTTTCCATCGGAGAAATTGTTTGTGGCAGCTTCAATGGTATGCAAGCCTAATTGTAAAGATTCCACTACTGAAATTTCATCTCCAGCTGGAGTACATTGTATTAATTTAGTTTTAGTGGGAATATGATAAAACAAATTTAAGCTTTTCAGTTGTGTTTTATATATATTACCATTTCCTTCTTTCACAGCTTTGTACTTTCTTCTTTCTTTCCAACATGGGAGACAATAGCATGAAGCGGATAAATTTATTATGAAGACAAGTATTGTAGGAACTGTAATTGTAATAATTTTCTCTGAGGAGATCTTCCCATTTCCTGCATATATATAAAAGAATTTGTTCAATTAATCATTTGCATGTCGTGTTATTTATTTGCAATCTTGACTTGACTCATAAAATATTGTGTTTACAGTCCTATATATTCATAATTTTCTATTCCGAAAAGTATATCATTCGTCTATACAATAATGACATGTAAATATACAGTAATGTAGTATAAGTGATATATTAATATCACAAAGCCCAATACATTGCATATTTAAACTAAAATTTTGAAGTTTCAAGATTTGAACTAGTAACGGAACAATTCTTGTATACGTCCAATGTATATATGTATAGTAATGTAGTATAAGTGTTTAAAACATAGCCAATAGCACACAATAAAGAAAACAGAAAAGTAAAGAAAACACACAATTTAATAAAGAAAACAGAGAAGTAAAGAAAACATTACTCTAGTTAGTTCCAATTAAAGAATTACATCTAGCATTTAAATAGAGAATTTTATTGAATATTAGAAATCTGCAGCAAATACAAAGTAGTTTGATGGTAGTTCGCTTTCACTCTTTATTCTTTCACACTCTCTAGGCTTCTCACTATTATAAAATGCATATAATATAAAACCCTAAGCCTATTTGGGCTTACCTGAATTTAACTTGAGTGAGGCTCAAATATTAGTAAATTTATTCTAAACCCAACGAGTCATTAGGTCCCCGAATGAGTCATCGTAAGCTGATAATCTGTGGCTAAAAGAAGTATAAACCAATATCCAACGGTCAGGACTTCATTTGATTTTAAATCCTACTAAGTGGTTCATTAAAGATTAGAAATTGTTTGAAGAAAGAAGAAGATGTTTCTTTTGTAACGTTCATATCAGGAAAGGATCTTGAAACATACCTTTTGGAATAATTAGTAGGGGAGAAGGAAGCGACAACGACGGTTAAGAAGGAAGAGCTGGTGATGTGGGAACAAGAGTGGCGTTATAGAAAGGATCCAAATCCCAGATATACATACAGCTAGGTCTCATAATAAGGCAGCCAGGCTTCCCATGGTAGTGACTCTCATAGAAACCCGTAGATTGACCAAGACAATCCTCACAATGACTCTGAAATATTTGCAGTACACTGCATGAGTGCATAAATCTTCACAAAGCTTGTCACACTTTCCTCCCCAATTGTAAACTTACTTGTGGAATTATTAGCCCCAGCTACAGCTTCTCTCAGCAACCGGTTCGTCAAACTCTCCCAATTCTGATCAAACTGTGTCATGTTTATGGTCATATTATTCTCATAACTGCCTCTAGCCATAGGATCTGCAACCATTTTGCCAAAAAAAGAGCGGTTTGAATAGCGCACAATGCATTGAGGACTCCCTCCCCATGCCACTGCTTATTTCTTGTTCAAACATGTCTTCGCAATATCTTTAGCTGTAGAACTTACACAACTAGCATTTTGTTCTGCAGAAGAATCTCCTCTATAATTCACAAGAGCATAAACTTTGTCTGGCTCTTCGCCAATACTTGAAGTATAAAAAAACCCATCATGAAGAGTGACATTAGAAGCAAGAGATGAGAGAATCAGGTTCCTGTTCTTCTCATAGGTGCTATTACTTGTGAAATTTCCTGTGTCATAACAGATAGTTCCTCTAGTAACACCAATGTTTATAAGCAAAATAGAAACCAAACAAAGCAAAGATATGAAACCCATCTGCATTTTCATAACTTTGTGGAAGATGAAACATAACACACAATTTATTAAAGTGAAATATATTATATTTTACTTTAGCAACTCATGACTTCCTTGCACAAATGTGAATACACTATAAATGTCGGTCAAGCTATGTACTATGTTTTAGCTGTTTTTTAATGATTTTTGTTTTTCTCACTGGACCTATAGTGGAGCATGATTCACCTAATCTTCTGAAAATAGTGAAGTCTTCTAAATTTTGATTAAACAAACTGATTATGATGGTAAAAATGAAAGTGCATGGGAATGGAATATATGCTTTTTTAAAGACTTGCTTTCATATAAAATTATCATGATGAGATTTGTTTATGTATCGACATCTTGCGTTCACCAACCCAACGATTACAAATTTCTTTAATAACTCTTTCACAAACATATGTCCAACTCCCTTGACATACAAAAATTGCACATATATTATTATATAAGGTTTTGCTAGAGACAAATTTGATATATATATATATANAAGGAAGACATTAATATCTATTTGATTAGTGTAATGAAGTTGTTGAATCTGATCACTCAATCTTACAATGACTCTTTGATATCTATTTCGGTATTATTCTAATGCTACTAAAATAATGAATTGAAATCCTAATAATACTAAAACATGAATTATAAATAAAAAATCAAAACAATAATTCTTATAATTACACATCTATTAAGTTATAATCTCCTCATAATAATAAATTTAATTGGTCTAACATTATGACTATATAAATATATATATATATATATATATATATATATAGATATATGTTGAGTGAAGACTTGAAGCTGCATCATTTTGGAGTTAGTGGTATGCTGCCGTTTTGTGCTTTAAGTGGATAATTTCAGACCATTGATCAAACAAAGATCCAACGACTACTATCTTCAATTCCAGTCAACACTATAAAAGCAGCAGAAAAATTCAGATTCAGTTTAGCTTCTTCTTCATTTCATCTAAAAGCATTACAAAAACTTGAATCAAATTTGTGTGACTTGTAAAGATTGAGTGATAGGATCTTGTCATTCTATGAGGGTTATAGTTCTCTCAAGGTTTAGAGATTTATGTGGGGATATCTCTAGGATTAGAAGTTGCAGGTTGGTTTGGTTTAAGGGTTGTTCAGATTGGGTTGATCTGAGTGTGTATGTGAACTGTTTTCACTTAAAGATTAGTGCAGTGAGCTCTCCATTTCTGGAGCTCAACGTGGATGTAGCCTATTTGAAACAAGACAGGTGAACCACGATAAAATTTATGGTGTTGATTCTTGATTCTTGATTATGTGTTTGTGTGATTGATAAGTTAGGTTTTAGTTACAATAGTGGTATCAGAGCAATAGGAGTGAGGTCCGGCTAATTGATTGAGTATTGGGTCGATTGAAAAGATTTTTTGGAAATCTAGGGTTTGAAGGAAAATTGGGGTTTTTCAATCTTAAACACTTTTGGGTACTCTAGGGCTCTTAGATTGAAGATTCGAGGTTCTAATTGGGGCCTAATTTGGGATAATCATCACACACACCCACCATGGCTACGACTAGAATGGAAATTGCGCAATATGACGGGAAGATTGACTTCGGTAGTTGGAAAAAGAAAATGAAGGCATTACTCTCTCATAATAAAGTAGCTCTTGCACTGGAAAAGAACACAAAGAAGTGGCCTGAAGAAAAGCTAAAGAGAAATGCAAAAATTGACGAGGAGGCATACAATCTGATAGTGATGAAACTGTCTGACAGCATACTAAGGAAAGTGGATGGGCTGGAAACTCCTTTGGCGATATGGGGTAAACTCGAAACTCTGTATGCTTTACAATCAGTACCAAACCTTGCTTTCTTGAAAGGTTCCTTGTTTTCATATAAAATGGATGGTGCTAGGTCAATAGAAGATAATTTAGATGAATTTCTAAAGATGACACTGATCTTGAAAGGAATTGACCAAGAACTAGGGGACACTAGTCTTGCCATGATCTTATTAAACTCTTTAACTGATGAATATGTTGTTGTTAAGAATGCTTTACAATACTCTGGGACTGTACCTAGTCTAGATTTAATCATCGTAGGATTAAAGGCTAGAGAACTAGAATTAAAAGTGCAAAAGAGGAATGGCAGTAACATGTTTGTGAAGAGTAAAGTAGAATCCAATCAACCAAGAAAAGACAACACTTATAATAATGGGTCTAGAAATAAGAAAAAGGGAAAAGGAAATAATAGGCCCAAAGGAGAAACTAGGAAGTGCTTCCACTATAATAAAACAGGTCACTTAAAGAAAAATTGCTTTGATTGGATTAAAAAGCAAAAACAAAGGAACACTGAAAGTAACCTAGCTTCAACCCTAAACAAAATAGAAGAACCTGAAGTTCTCATTGTGTCCAAATCTGATAATGTACAGGAATGGGTTCTAGACTCTGGTTGTTCGTTTCACATGAGCTCTAATAGAAATTGGTTTCAAGACTTTGAGCCATATGATAATGAAACAGTGTTTATGGGTAACAACAATGCTTGTAGGTCAAAGGTATTGGCAGTATAACAATAAGACTAATAGGTGGGAAATTGATTAAGTTGACTAAGGTTAGGTACATCCCTGAGCTTAAACGGAACTTAATTTCTCTAGGGACACTTGATGAGGCAGGCTGCTATTATAAAGCTAAAAAAGGGAGTCTAAATATATACAAAAATGGAAACTTAGTCCTTAAAGGAGAAAAGAAAAATGGCCTATATATCCTCTGGGGAAATTATAACTCTGAATTATTAAATACTGCACTTGTCTCTGCTAATCTCTCTGCGACAGATAAGTGGCACCTCAGATTGGGCCACATGAGCCAAAAGGGAATGAATATCCTGAGCAACCAGGGAAGCTTTGCTAAGGACACTATTTCCACTCTTGAATTCTGTGAGAATTGTGTGTTGGGAAAACAACACAGGTTGAGTTTCAAAAAGGGGACTCACCTAGCCAATAAATGTTTAGAATACCTACATGCAGACTTATGGGGACCTGAAAAAGTAAGGTCCCATGGAGGAAATAGTTATTTCCTGTCTATTGTAGTTGACTATAGCCGAAAAATATGGGTATACCTTCTTAGATCGAAGGACCAGGCCTTAGCCAAGTTTAAGGACTGGAAAATGTTGGTAGAAAATTAGATTGGAGATAGAGTTAAGACTTTAAGGACAGACAATGGTCTAGAATTCTGTAATACTGAATTTGATAGCTTTTGTAGTGAATACAGTATCTTAGACATAGGACTATCAGAAAAAGCCATCAGCAAAACGGGGTAGTTGAGAAATGAACAGGACCTTATTAGAAAAGGTCAGATGCCTGCTATTCACCTCTGGATTGCCAACCAGGTTTTGAGGGAAGGCAGTAACTACTACTGCTTATTTAGTAAATAAAAGTCCTTCCACAACTATAGACTTAGATTGTCTAAAAGAGAGATGGTCTGGTAGAAAATCAGTTCTGAATCACCTAAGAGTATTTAGATGTGCAACTTATGCACACACAATGGGGGGCAAACTGGAACCTAGGTCCATTAAATGTGTTTTTCTAGGATATCAAGAAGGCATTAAAGGATATAGGCTTTGGGATAGAAAGTCTCCTGGGGTAAAAATCATTGTGAGTAGGGATGTGGTATTTAATAAAGGGATTTTTCCCATGTAAAGCTACTAACAATGATACAGATAGCCCTAGCACCTCTGAAGGAATTCCAGCTTCTAGTGAGAATACTCAAATTGAGGTGGAGCATGAAATCCAACAAACTGATACATTTCAGTCAGAAATAGAAGAAGCAATTGATGTTGATGCAGTGCCAAATGAGACAGAACAAGAAGAAGAAAATGCAATAGAAGTGATGACTGAACCTTAGAATGATCTACCACAATATCAGCTTGCAAGGGACAGAGTTAGAAAAGAGGTAAGACCCCTAACTAGATATTCATATGCTGACCTAATATTCACTGCTTTGCTTGCAGGAACTGAAATATAGAGAACTGAACCTGTATCATATGAGGAAGCTATGAAATCTATGAACTGAGACAGGTGGAGGGCAACAATGAAAGAGGAAATACAGTCACTTGAGGTAAATAGAACCTGGTTTTTGGTTCCCAAACCTAAAGACCACAAACTAATATAGTGTAAGTGGCTATTCAAGATAAAAGAAGAAATTTTAGTTAATGATCCCCCTAGGTTTAAGGCCAGGTTAGTGGCCAAATGGTATACACAAAGAGAGGGCATAGACTTCAATGAAGTCTTTTCCCCTATAGTGAAGTATAAAACCATTAGGTTAATGCTTTTAGTTGCTGCCCATCACAACTTAGAGATAGAACAGTTAGATGTCACCACTGCTTTTCTTCATGGCAACTTAGAAGAAAAGATATTCATGTGTCAACCTGTTGGTTTTATAAACCCAAGAATGCCTAATCATGTGTGTCTATTAAATAAATCATTATATGGACTTAAACAGTCCCCAAGGCAACGGTACAAGAGGTTTGACACGTTTATTGTGAGCATTGGGTTTATTAGAAGAAAATAGGACACCTGTTTCTATTTCAAATTAACTGACAATTTGCCTATCTACCTATTACTCTATGTTGATGATATGTTGCTTGTGAGTAAGTCCAGGTAAAAAATACTTGAATTAAAAGGGAAACTCAGTTCTGAGTTTAAGATGAAGAACCTAGGGGTAACAAAGAAGATTCTAGGCATGGTCATAAATAAAGATAGGAAAAGCAGTGTACTGAAAATACATCAGTAGTCATATTTGCAGAAATTGGTGACAAAATATGGAATGGCAGGGTCAAAGCTGGTCATTATGCCCTTGGCCAGCCACTTTGTGCTAAGTAAAGAGCAATGCCCCAAAACTGAGGTTGAAATGCAAACAATGGAATATGTACCTTACTCAAACATAATAGGATCTGTGATGTATGCAATGATTGGTACTAGGCCAGACTTATCCTTTGCTATATCTTTATTAAGTAGATTCATGTCCAATCTAGGAGCTAAACACTGGACAGCCTTAAAATGGGTAATAAGATACATAAACAATACTCATGGTGTTGGGTTAGAATATTGCAATAGAGGCGTTTCACTTGATTTGGTTGGTTTTGTAGATGCTGACTTTGCAGGAGATAAAGACACTAGAAAGTCAACCACATCTCACTACTTCATCCTTGGAGGCAACTGTATAAGTTGGAAGACTCAGCTACAACCTATTGTGACTATCTCGTTGACTGAAGCTGAGTATGTGGCAGTTGCCGATGTGTTTAAATAAGCATTATGGCTTACGGGAATTCTGTCTGAGGCAAGTTTGACTAATGGGAAGGTGATTATTTACTCAGACAGCCAAATCACGATTCACCTAAGTAGAAATCCTGTTTATCACGAAAGGACCAAACACATGGACATGCGCTTCCATTTTGTAAGAGATCTGGTCATGCAAGGAACAATTGATTTGAAGAAGGTCAACACAAAAGACAACCCTACAGACATGGGCACTAAGATAGTCACTCTTGCTAAGTTCAAGCACTGCTTGAACTTACTATTTATAAAATAGGCAGGAGTGACCAAAGTGGTGGGGGATTTGGTTCTGAGTAATCTGCACTAATAGAGTTTAAAGTCTTCAAGGTGGAGTTGAGTGAAGAGTTGAAGCTGCGTTGTTTTGGAGTTAGTGGTGTGCTGCCGTTTTGTGCTTTGAGTGGACAATTTCAGACCATTGATCAAACAAAGATCCAACGGCTACTATCTTCAATTCCAGTCAACTCTATAAAAGCAGTAGAAAAATTCAGATTCAGTTTAGCTTCTTCTTCGTTTTGTCTAAGAGCATTACAAAAACTTGAATCAAATTTGTGTGACTTGTAAAGATTGAGTGATAGGATCTTGTCATTCTGTGAGGGTTATAGTTCTCTCAAGGTTTAGAGATTTATGTGGGGATATCTCTAGGATTAGAAGTTACAGGTTGGTTTGGTTTAAGGGTTGTTCAGATTGGGTTGATCTAAGTGTGTATGTGAACTGTTTTCACTTAAAGATTAGTGCAGTGAGTTCTCCATTTCCGGAGCTCAATGTGGATGTAGCCTATTTGAAACAAGATAGGTGAACCACAGTAAAATTTCTGGTGTTGATTCTTGATTCTTAACTGTGTTTGTGTGATTGATAAGTTAGGTTGTAGTTACAATAGTATATATTGGGTGTGATTTTTTCAGTAAAGCATGCTTGCTTGAAATCCCAAAGCAAGTACGTGGGGGCAGCCTAGTGTAAATAATAAAAATACTTTTTTAAAAGTTATAATTTATTAACATTTTAAGACTAATATATTAATTATTTTTTATATTCAAAATTAGAAAAATTGTTTACATTACAAAAGAATTAGAAGAAAACAGTTTTAATCGTCTTACAACTTTTTAAATCATTTCAATAGATTTTTCATCTTATTAAGGACGTTTTTGTTTTATTAACTTTTTTTTTTTTTTTCAGTCATGACTAGATATCGTATATTAAAAATCGGAGGATAGTTTATGAAATTAGCTCAAATATTATATATTGGTATAAAGCTACTCATTTTTATGACTTCCTAGTACAAATGTGAATGCAGGTTGGCGAAAGATATGTACTATGTTTAATTGTTTAATCATTTTTATGTTTTTTCATTGGACCTAATGGAGTAAGCTTCAATTAATATTCTATAAGTAGTGAAGTCTTCTAATCAAACATTAACAAAGTGATACGAAAGGGACAAATTAATTTGATGGTAAAGCTAATGAAAAGTGCTTGGCAATGACATATATGCATATTTAAAGACTTGCTTTAGTATAAATTTATATGAGATGGGATTTGTTTATGGTGACATCTTGAAAATCCTCCGTAAAGCTAGGGTAAATCGGTAAAGTTTAATTAGATGGACAACTAGATCTTATAAAATTAACAATAAAGATTGGTTGACAAACAAATCTCACAAACTCTCTCTCATGCACAAACCCAACTTGGTAGCTGAGAATTGGTTTCAGATGATTTTTTCTCACTTGCTGACATCACCCAATGATGTGGTGGGAGTGTCACATCGGGTTGTGAAAGAAAGTTTATGAGATTTGTTTATCAACGTAATATTACCCTAAAATTAAACATGCTTTTTTTCTTAAGTGTTGACCAAATATCATTAAGGGTTGTTTTGTAATTAGGCACAAAGGTGTTGTCATGCGGTATCATTTTAATCTTCTTTATATAACATAGAGACTGTAACTTTCTCTTGTTAACGAAAACAGAACTGAATCAGCTCACTTATTGATTCTTCTTCTTCTTCAATTTTCTCTCATTTTGACTTGGTATCAAAGCACTGACTAACGTCAATGGCAACTGATTCTGGTTCCACATACTCGCTTAACAATGTAGAAGAACTCTTAAGAGAGTCAATTGATCTCTCTACTACACATTTTCTCAAGGAATCTGTAAATCGTGCAACCTCAGCTTTACCTTCAAGTTTGCAAACTATCAGCCCAAAGCTCACAAGAAACAACTATCGCTTCTAGAGCTCACAGGTTCTTTTTGCTGTAGGATCACATGAATTGGAGGATCATCTCATTGGTAAAGTTCCCTGTCCTTCTCCTTTACTTGTGTTGAATTCAGATTTTGAAAATGAGTTAGGACAAATTAGAGGTGAACTCAAGTTAAGTGACGATTCAATTAGTAATAAGGTGAATCCTGCCTACATTTTATAGAAATGCACAGATAAATTTCTTGTAAGTTGGCTATTAGCTTCCATTTCCGAAAATATGTTTGGAGTAATATCGAAGTGTAGGTTTTCCACTGACATTTGGAATACTTTGCATCTTGAATTCCTAAATGATTCTAAGGTTAGAGCTTTACATCTTAAGAACCTATTACAGACCACTGAAAAATATGAGTATTTGTGATTATGTTAAAAGGATGAAGGAAATTGCAGAAAGTTTGTTTGCCAATGGATTGATTGTGGCCGATGAGGACATATTGCAATATGTTTTAGAAGGTCTAGGACTTGAATATGATGCAGTTATTGTCAATCTAACCTCCAGACTGGAGTCCAAAGTCAATACAGTATCCCTGCAGGAAGCTCAGTCTTACTACAAAAGTATGAGCTTAGGTTGGATAAACTCAACTTAACAGATTTGTATAACAATTCTGCAATTGTGGCATCACTTCACCGTACTGGGCTTCTTACTGATGCCACCAATACCAACCCTCCTTCCACTCAACACTTAAATATTAAAAGCTCACCTAACTCACTACAGACACTAGCACACAAATCCATTCCAATGCCTTCACTGGTATCACTGGGAAATCCACATTAGCAACAAAATTATGCCATACCTGTTATTGTTGCTAACAATGCTAGGGTAGAAAACCAACCTCAACTGAACTATAATGCTTCCATGTTCACTCAAAGAGCTCCCTTTCAACAATATGGCAGAGGCAGAGCCATAAATTTTGGGAGAAATAGGCTAATTTGTCAGCTTTGTAACAAGGCAGGACACTCTACTGTGCAGTGTTATCACATATTCAATGCAACCTACAATGGTACATTTAACAGTGCCTACACCAACTCACAATCATCACACTCCAACCCACAACCACCACTGTTTTATTCTCCATAGCAGTTTGCTTCTCAGTCATACATGGCCAATGGATACTCTCCCAATTTATTACCTCAATAGCATTCTATGAACTCTCAATCTCAACAGTTTGGGCAATCACAAGCCTTTAGATAGTCTCCGATTCCTATAGGCTCTTTCTCGCAGAACTCACAGCAATCATAGTTTAATCATTAGATCTCTGATAATTCTAGAAGCCCACTGTTAAGTGTTCCTAGTCAGTAGTTGGCAGAGGATAGTCAAGTCTTTGTTGCTAGCTCAGACATCTCATTTCCTGGTTCCACACTTGGGAGTTCTGTGTACAATCAACAAGCTCATCCTCAACCAATTTTACATTCTACTCTTGCCACATCCTCCACCACTACTGACTCTATGTGGTACATGGATTCAAGCGCAACAGAACATGTTACTGCTGACTTGAATCACATGAGTCTTAGCAAGAGTTATGACGCTGCAAATCAACTTCAAGTGGGGAATGGTGAGTTTCTTAACATATCTCATATTGGTTTTACTCCCTTATCTAGTGATCTTCATTCCAAATGTTTATTGCTAAAAAATATCCTATGTTGCCTAAAATCACAAAAAAATTGCTAAGTATCTCTAAGTTTACCAAGGATAATGATGTAGTGTTAGAGTTTAATGCTGATTGTTGTATTGTTAAGGAAAAGTTAACATGAGCTTTGTACCAGTTGAACATCTCACCTAGGTCTACTGTGTCTTGTTCACCCGATACTGATGCACCTGACTCTAGTGGTTTTTGTTCAAATCTGTGTAGTAAAAATAAGTCTATTTCTGAAATTTCTCAACCTGATGAATCATGCTCTAAGTTCTGTAGTCATGCAAGCTGTAATCCTGGTGTATTCTGTTCTAAATTCTGCTCTGATTGTCTTCATAATGTAGAGTCAACAAGTCTTGTTACTAATACTAGTGATGCTAGTAATTCTGGTATTCATGGTCTTATAAAGTGTAACAACTCTTTTAGCAATAAAGTGCTTCAAATAAATTCTAACAATTCTTCTAATTTTCTCAATTCTGACAGCAAAAATGATTGTGCTAATTCTGAAATTCATTGTTTTCTTGCTGATACTACTACAAAATGCATATATGAGATGGCACAAGAGACTAAGACATCCACATTCTCTTGTTTTGCATAAAATTCTTGCCACTTTACCTAAAAATACCATTAATCAGTCTCAATCTAAATTAACTTCTGCTCTTGAATTCTGTGATGCCTATCAATTGGCAAATTGCATCTTACTAGCTATCCATCCTCTTTCTCCATGTCCATTGCACCTTTAAAGTTAGTACACAGTGATGTGTGGGGTCCTACACCCTTACCTTCAGTTGAGGGCTTTTGTTATTATGTGCAATTCTTAGACGACTTTAGTCGATACACTTGGTTGTTTCCTCTTCGCACAAAGGCAGAAGTAAAATCTGTTTTTATTAAATTTCATCACCTTGCCAAAAGGCAATTTGATCACAAGCTCAAGTGCTTGCAATCCGACCAAGGAGGATAGTACATTGCATTACAACCCTATCTTGCTGAATTAGGTATTTGGTTTAGACACTCACGTGACTACATTCATCAATAAAATGGACGATGTGAAAGGAAGCATAGACATATAGTAGAAACCGGATTAACTCTTCTTGCCTA